GCCCCAAATTTCTGTTGTCTTAAGCCACCAAGTTTGTGGCAATTTGTTACAGCAGTCTCAGAACACTAATAAAGCCACTAAGATATAAAACTCCTTTCCCCAGAGGTTCATGAAATTGAACAGGCGGTAGTTCAGAATAGAGCTGCCTTAGATATAAGATTGGCTTTTTGAGGGAGAATCTTGGCTATTTTAACAGTATAATGTTGTGCTTATTATCCCTGCAGACCTCTCTGAGATCTTTAATACTACCAAAAATCTGGGAAGTAAGCCAAGAAATCAGAAATTGGGTAATTTGGAGAATGACCTCGTTGCTGGTTCAGCAGACTCTCAGATTAGGGATGGTATCTATTTCCTTGGTTTAATATGGGGACTCTTGTCTCCTGGCTGAGGAGTGGACGATAAAATCTGATCATAATCAAACATACAAACTCTGATCATGATCCCTCTTTTAGTATTTAGTATTGTCTGTTTTGCAGTTTCAGACGTATGATCTCCATCACAGCCACTGTCCTGTCAAATGATCAAGTAAATGGCCATACAGCAGAAAGAGCAGAAAAACTTGACATGTACAAGATTTAAATAACCACTACTGGAAACTTAGAGATTGAAACAACCATAGATGGAAACTTGACATATGATTGTGACACCTCAAATAATAGTGAAGATACAGAATGATCACATGCTCAGATATTAATGGTCTATCCTTCAGCTTAGCCTGAAGGATGAGCACCGGAGAGACTGAGAACCAAAACTGTCTAGCCCCATTTTCAGCCTGGTCTCTGAGAACCAAAACCACACTTTACTGTCTACATCAACATAACTTTGCTATTCTACTGTCTTCATGAGCATCTCTTTATTTTCCAGGCCTGTCCTGCCCAGGCAAATGGTTTGATTGCTCGTCACAAGAACTTCTCCAGGATACAAGGTTAATATACAAAAGTGAATCACTTTCATATATACCAGCAATGAGTAAGTGGAATTTGAAATTAAAAACACAATACTATTTATATTATCATCCCAAAATGAAATATTTAGGTATAAATCTAACAAAATATATACAAGATTTATATGAGTAAAACTATAAAACTCTGATGAAATAAATCAAACAAGAACTAAATAAATGGAGAGATACTCCAAGATCAGGGACGGTAAGACTCAATATTGTCAAGATGTCAGTTCTTCTCAACTTAATCTACAGATTCAATGTAATCCCAATTAAAATTCCAACAAATTATTTGGTGGATATCAAGAAACCAATTCTAAAGTTTACTTGGAGAGGCCAAAGACCCAGAATAGCCAACACAATATTGAAGGAAAAGAACAATCAGAGCACTGACACTACCTGACTTGAAGACGTACTATAAAGCTACAGTAATCAAGACAGTGTGGTATTGGCAAAAGAACAGACAAATAGATCAATGGAACAACACAGAGAGGCCAAAAATAGACCTATATAAAATGATCTTTGACAAAGGAGTAAAGGCAATACAATGGAGAAAAGATAGTCTTTTCAGCAAATGGTGCTGGAACAACTGGCCATTCACATGCAAAAAAATGAATCTAGACACAGACCTTATACCTTTCACAAGAACTTCCCGAAAGACCCATCAGCTCTTCAATGGAAAGCATCAACAAAGTTTGTAGCCTAATATTCTCTGAATCTCTCATCTCAAAATGCTCGCCTTGCTGCTTCCACAACTCCTGGACTGTTGTATCATGATTCTTAGTCAATTCCAATCAAGTCTCCACATTGAAATCCCCACTTTAAACCAAATTTCCAATTCTTAATAAATTCTGTCCTAACCTTTCCCCTCTGAGACACTGGCAAATCTTTGTGGAGGTGGTGTTCTCCCTTGCTGCGATAAGTAATAAACCCAAGCTTTGCTTTATCAGCATGTTGTGTTGGTGATATTTGGGGAGCTAATATAAATATATATATGATTTTATATATATCTAGATGTGTATGTAGTTATAGATATAGACACACACATATTTTGCATCCATCAATCACATGAAAAAATTACAATGTTAGAAGATAGATCATTGGGTCAAGTGCAATATATTTCTATCCAATAGTAACCAAAATGATATAGGTTGGCTGACAATTCTCAATCCCTGTCAGTCTCTCCACAGCCCTCCTGCAGCCCATCAGCTCTCCAGGAAGGAAATTATGCATCTGAAGAATGCAGACCATCCCAGGGTTTCCTTCCAGGCCCAAACCCTCAGAGAAGGTAGGAAACTACTATATCCATGTTTTCAGAGAAACAGAAATAAGTAAGGATCTTGGTGGAGAATGGAAGGGAGGGACGAATTGGGCAAAACCAAGCAAATTGATGTGGGGCAAGAAGCGAAGATGTATAATGGTCATCAACTCCTAGTGGCTGAGAGCTTGGTAAAGATGTATTGGTACAGTATTACTATATATTTAAGGAAACCTTATACACACAGTGCACATACTCTATATACTGCTGTCAGTATCTTTATCAGTGTTTCTCAACTGAGAAATATATTGGAGGGACTTCTTTTAAAGGAAAAACATTCTCTCAGACTCAAGCATTTGTATAAATTCTTTTTATAATAATATTTCTTAAATGTAAACAAACAAAACTAAATATAAACTCTGCTGTTCATAAAGCTGTTATACAAATTTAACACTAAAGTGAATTTACAAGCTGTGCACAAATTAAAAAATAACGTTAATTTAATGTGGCACATGATGTTGCTGAGACAAAACTGCCCTTAGAAACCTAAGCATACTACTGACTGGCCAGCGTGTGCTCTTGGCCTTCAACGTGCTCGTAAATGTGTCTTGTGAGGACTCAGCTTTCCCATTACTTTCCTCTTTTCAACCTACCACAAAGCCTTCGTATAGTAAGCCATGAAGTAGGAGGTTCACCTTATTTATTTTCTCACTAGATCATGACAATGAAAGTAGTAGTACCATGTGCCAACTTGATTGTAAAAACAGACTCAAACACGTGTCCTAATTATGTGGCAGCTGTTAATTATCATGCTGTCATCCAGATATTCCAGAATATGCTTAAAATTAAATGCGAAAGTAAAACATACTCATAGAAAACTCACAGACTCTGTCATTAGACTCCAGTTTGAAAAACACTGTCCTATTTACAGTATATGTAAAAATATGTATGTGCAACTATGACATACAACTATTTACTGGGGCCTTGTGGAGAAAAAGGGAAAAAAAAGGAGGAGGATTGGCAATAGATGTTAGCTCAGGGCCAGTCTTGCTCAGCAAAAAGAGGAGGATTGGCATGGATGTTAGCTGAGGGCTGGTCTTCCTCAAAAAACAAAACATACTTGTAGAAAACTCACAGACTCTGTAATTAGACGCCAGTTTGAAAAACACTGTTCTATTACAGTATATGTAAAAATATGTATGCTTAAGTTAGACTGTTTTGTTAATATCTTATTAATAGTTTCTGGTGCTATTACCTGAGTACCCACATTATTATGCAGCAGTTGACTCTTGTTTCTTTTGGACAATCAAGTGTCATGTTTGTGGGGACTAAGCCATGGTCCATTCAGCCTCACTATCCCCAGACCCCTCGAGATTGGTGCATTGGGGACCATAGCTTAAGCCATCATGACCCTCACCTACATAATTTTTAAATTGGCCAGGCCCATTAGATATTAATGAATGATTTTGAAAGCCCCATTCACAGTGTAACATACCTTCTTGCAATCCAAATGAAAGAAGACGGGCATGCTCAACCCTCAGGTAATCAAAAAACGGAAGCAAGACAATACATACATTCTAAAGCAGCGTTGGAGGGAGTTGTTTTCGTTATAAGTTGCATTGGTAGAACAAGTCACAGAGTTTAAGACTGTTTGGGGCTTGTTTGTGTGACAACTCCCCACTTCTCTCTCCTTTCCTTCTGCGTTTTCAACTTTCCCTTCCTTTCCACCTATGCCCTTATCATTTTATATGAAAATGTGCTTCCTTTTATGAAATAGTAGTAGGTAGTTTTAAAAATTGCCTACATTTGGAAAAATAAGAAATTAGCAATGTTGGATTTTCCTCCGAGTATTTTTAAAAAATTTTACGCGCCTAAGATCTGGAACCACTTGTCTAGAATACAGAGAAAAGAGGAGAGGAAGAAAGCAGAGTACGTGACACCTAGTAAGTTAAGTTGAACAGTTAAGCGCCATAATATATTTTCTACGGGAGCACTGGCAGAAATACCTGAGTGTCGTTAGGGAGTCAGGGAAGGCTTCACAGAGGAGGTAACGTTTGAGCTGGGGCTTTAAGGATTAGCAGGGGAGAAACGGCAGGGCATTCCAAGCAGAATGCATAATGCGAGCACACAGAGCACAAAAGAGCACTACGTGTCCAGAAGCTCTAAGTAGCCTGGCTGCTGTTGTGCAGAGTTCTCGGGGTTAGGTGATCAAGGATGAGGCAGGGACTATTTTTCCCTACTTGGCCTATTTCCCCTACAGCTCATTGCACAGTGCTGGGCACACACACTGCAGGAGCTCAATGAAAACTTGTTGAATTGGGACAGGGTGATCGAGTGTGCTGGGAAGCGGGACATCTGGATTCTTTCTCACGCACTCGCGGTGTGGCCTTGGCCAAGTCCCTTTTCTCAGGGCTGCGACTTGCTGCTTAGTAATCAGCCGCGGTGAGACAGCGGAGGAGGAGGTTGTCCCGAAACAGCGGGCCCTCGAGCGCCTGGAACCCCCGAGTCGACGCGCGGAAGGCGGGCCGGGCCGGGGCGGGCGGAGGTTCAGTTCCTCCTCCACTCCGGCAGGGGGCACGGGGAGTGGCTTCCCGCCGCCCTTCCCTCCCGGCCGGCGCCGGGCCGACTGCAGCAGTCGCGAGCC